ATCGAATCGGTGGAAAGATCGGATTGCCGCACGCGCAGCTGGCCATTTTTCAACGAAACCTACCTCCTTGCTTATAAAGAGTTCGATGAAAGAGTTTTATGGGGCCGAGTCTCTCTGGAAATGGGATGTCTGTTATCCGATCAGTTGGGAAATGATTTTTAATTTTTTTCTTTTTTTTTTTCGAAATATTTTTTAATCGTTACATTATCTTTATAAATCGTTGTAATTCGCGAGGATAAATGAGGATGTGGTTGTAATTATAAAATAAAATTGTAATTTATCTAATATCTTTTCTTCTGTGGGAAGGAAAAATTAATTATATGGCTATTGAACTTGCCAAATTATCTGAAATAATGATAAATTAGAAGAGGGGGAAAGATAAATATTTAAAGATAAATATTTTTAATAATAATTGTAACGGAACACACAGAAGTAATGTAATTTTGTGATAGAATTTGTTTATTACAAATTGTATATAAATATCGAGGATATTTCTAATTGAATATTATTTAAATATTTTAAACGTTATAAATAAAAAGAAAAAGGATGAAAATGTTTTTTGAAATTGAATTATGCATAGAGTAATCATATTGTATAAAAAAAGAAATCGTTCCGACCGACGTTTGATAACGCATCGAATATTACTGCAGTTATAAATTCATTATCAATCAAATGTCATCACCGGAAATAATAAACAGTATTAATTGGTCAACATTATAAATATTATTGGAAGTTTATTCAACGTCGCATAAAATGAGATAAATCATTGTCTAAAATTAAATACACTTATTTATGTTCGTCCAATCAGCGATAAAATGCTTTGTAATGCAACATTAACTAAATTGAAGAAGAGAAGATAAATAAAGAAAATAGGCAATAATGAAAATAAGCAAGATTTCTTTTAATAACTCTAAACTTGATAAAGAAGGAGAGAAACATGGTGGAATAATAAATTTATCGTTCTGAAACATCATAATTATTCATCGTATAGATAATTTTTAAACAAATATATCCGAAAGAAAGACTTAAGAATTGCATATTTTAAAATTGATAATTCTCATATAATCTAATCATTTGGAATATATACATAGAATCAATTTTGTAATTTCAATTTTTTTCCAAATCACTTTACGCGAAAAAAATTTCATTCCTCACGATTACTTCTTCTTCTTCTTCTTCTTCTTCTTCTTCTTCTTCTTCCAATTCTTAGATGGAACGTGTTAATTAATTTCAAAGTTTTGGTCAATATCGAATAATGTTCCAGGAAAAGCACGCATAATTTTTCAATAATTCTTTAAATATAATTTTTTCTATTTCATGAAATAACATTTCATTTCCATCAACCTAACATTATCGGCATAAATCACGTTGAGAGACGTTTCAAGCTAATTACATCTACCAGTTGTGTCAGATATCCGTGAAGAAATATACGGCATATTTCCCTATGCATTTTCAAGGATATCCACGTTTTAAGGCGGTTTTCTTATCCGTACAGCCATTTTATGGACACTTCTCTCGAGGAGCAACGTGGTCGTAAACCGTGGGCCAGAAAAAAGATGTTACACGTTTAGCATCAGTCAAAGCGCATGGTAATCGATGGAGTAGCTTGTTAGTGGTTATCAGTGGCGATAATTTCTGACGAATCGTGGTAATAATGCCGAAATAACGATTTCTGCTTCGTAACTCGGACCAGCTGCTCTGTCACGTCGTTCTTCCCATTGATAATGAATGAAAATTGAAACATCTGTGGTGCACAAGTACAAGGTTTTTACAAAGTGATATACTTTACGGGAGGGTGAAAAAAAAAAAAAA